TCGAGCCGCGATTGCGACAACTTGCATCCGAGCGGTCGCCGCGCCAAAAACAAACCAACCACCGAGTTAACTGATCTTTATAACGAACTGAACCCTCAAATATCGAGTCGAGATCACTACGATTACACATAGTTGTCCGTTTGGATAGAAAAAAATTTCTATATTCGTTGATTCACGACGGAGAGCCGACGTAACATACATATGATACCAACGGGAGAGCGGGAAACCTCACGATCCTACTCTTTGGTGGACGTTAACATGTCACCACCGTTTCTCCGTGTAGAGGTAAGAAGCTTGTTCCCAATAATTGATAAAAAAATAAGCAAAAATTTCGTTTGATACGAATTTTACATTGAGAACTTTTTATTCCTCAAATTGCTTTAATCTTGAATAAACGGGGAAGCTCTTTATTCTGAAATACTTTCTGTATAATTTACCAGCGTTTTACATGGACTAGATAATTGTGACACAGAACGGGGGGGGATCGATTATGACAATAGCCGCGTACTGTTGAATCTTCGTCGAGATGTTATTTACACGGGAACGGAAACGGGTTGGGGGTAAATAATTTGAATGAAATGGTCGAGTAATTCGCAGACTTTCGATGCGATTAAAGCCGCCGGTTTCTGGGTGCTACGAGCGAGACATTGGGCCTGCTGCGCCAAAGGAGCTACATGCTCGACGTATAATTACGTCCTCTTTTTAAAGACTTTCGTAAACAGAGAGAGTATGCTTGGACGTTGACCCTGTTTCTTGGTGTGCCCCAAGCATCTCGTCCCAATTTTCTTCATTTCCATGGCTCGGTTCACTTTTTCTTAGTTTCGAACGCGCATATGAAATTGGGTGAAGAAGATAAACCTATCCGGGCAAGATAAATAACCCAAACTATAATCATGTTTCCGATTTGAAGAGCGAACTTTCCGGAGTGAATTAATATATGCAAATGCTTGTTTAATGCATGCAAACGTACCACGGCGTACGAACTCTTTCTTTTATAAATAACGAGATGTTAGTATCTGTGATTTAATTGGGTTTAATTTGCCTAGCGCGTGCACCGTGTATAAAATGAATTGAATTTTGTTTATTTTATCAAATTTATTTTCCAGTGAATGTTATTTTATCTCGCGCGAGAGGCTGAGATTTCAAGGATGCTTATATCATATTCATTTGTTAAAATTTATATGTATAGGACTCCCTCTGTGCAGCCACGTACTACTTTGAAAATTCCTGTGCCATGCAAAACCCGCATGCCTCCGATGATTCTATTACATTTTTTTATCTTCCTACGCTGCGAATCCTTTGATCGACCCCACGCATAGTTCGACGTGAATCGCCTTTCAAAGACGAGAGATTTTTTTCTTCTTCATATGCTTTGTTCCGAGAACTAAGATTTCCTTAATAATATTCGTTTTAAAAATTTTCTATAAGAAGAGACGTCCATCATTGTTCACGTCGCGAGAGGGACGTTACTGACAGGATGAAGGAGCACATCCATTAATGGTATTAGCGAATTTTACCCCTTTCACGATAGCAAGGTACACACTGCAATTTATGGAAAGCGAACTAATCGCTCTCTCAAGGAAGCTTAATCTTTTTCCAAACATTTACAGAAAGTTTTCAATTATAAATACGGTCGATATCCATATACTCATCGTAAACAAATTAAAATTAAGGAAAAACGCTGAATTTTGTTAACATCACTTCTTCAACAGAAATCCTTTTATCAAAGTTCAACAGCAAATCACTATAAGAGTTTCGCGACTAGTTCGCAGAAATTGCAAGAATTTCTGATGCGCGCTCCTGGGATATCCTGTAACTGATTCCCAGATTCCTGGGAAGTGACGCAGTTTACAGTTCCATATAACACAATTTAAATTGTTTTGAACTCGTACGCTTGATACAACTTCGAAAATTGCATGCATACACTGAAGAATATTAAATAACATTTGACACAATAACAATTTCTCATAGCGAACGAGAGGCTGCAAAGCTTCTCGTCGAGGTACATAATCTTTTCAGTTAACCATCAGCTTAAAGAAAGACCGCGTTCTATTACAGTGTCGCAAACGGGAATGGCCGTAAGCTAGTCAGACTTATTCACAGGCTCATTTAAAATGATAGCCGGCTTTCTGGTGACCAACGCGAGCCGGACTGGCACGTGAAAGACTCGTACTACTGTCGCGACACGATTTCTAGGACGCGCTACTTCGCCTGACCAATTTCATACAAAATAAGTGCATTAAGTTCTATTTTCGATTGCGCGATATCGATCAGGTGCAGAAACTCGTGCCGGTGTCAGTCATGTATCGTGTCTGTAACCGGGGAAATAATTACAGAATCGATGATACTAATGCTCCCAAAATTTGTCTGATTTCAAACTTATTACTCATTGAGAATAATACGAATGATATCTGATCAGTATATTTTTAAGAAATTTAGGAGCAATGCGCATTACGTACAAAAAATATTGAGAGCAACGTGAATGTTATAATGCTTAAATACTTCATTTTGCATGAAGATCTGCACAAGGCTCTTGAGGAATAACCAGCTTCCAATCTTAACGTCGAATCATGATTCATGTTATAATAAACGGCTACGTTGAGATTCGTCCCTGATTGGGAAGCCACCGTATGGCACCCGCAAGAGCAATACCGATTAAAGATGTATCCGATCCTCCTACGACAAATTCGATCAGAACCGCAGAGGCAATTCGGTATTCACCTTAGGAACTCGAACACGGAATTTATTCGGATTTGCTACACTCTGGCAAGTGGTTGTCCCATTGAGAAAGAAAGATTACGCAATATACTTCTGTTTCAATCCTCATTTGAATAAATCGTTAGATGTAAATTACAAGTAATTCCGTTCGGCTGCGCGCGTCAGTTTATTCGAAGGAAATTGTACCCGACGCGTCTTTGAATTTCCTGGAACGTCACACAGCTCCGAAGAGCGGCTTCAAAACGATTACATTGCCTGCTTAGCTCGCGTATTATTAACATAATTGAGTTTGTCAAACTGCGAGTCCCATATTTCGCCGTGTAATCCCGTCGTCCGAGCAGCCGCATAGAAATTCCTACCAAGGGGATTACTTCTTTAGCCGGCATTGTTGCCTGTGTTCTCTGGATAACTGCCATTTCCGTCCGAAACCACTTTCACAAACGCGTTGGATTAAACAAACCGTCCGCCGTCGGAATTATTTGCGAGCCATGTAAACACCGAAGCAGAAAGTACGAACGTACGAGATTAACGCCACGTGGATTAACGTGGACGCATGAATTTTCCACCGTTGTGTCCTGAGGCTGAAGGACAAACTACCGTGGCCGATTTCCTAACTTCCCCGGCTCCGTCATTTACATATTGATCTGCAAACTTTTTATTATAGCGAATGCAGAAATTTAGTTCTTGTTTCATCGTGTCGTAACTTCGTCTCGCTTCGTTTACCGATTCCGACTGAAAATGGAGATTCGCCGGGACATTTTATGAGCAATTCTTTAACGAATCAGAATGATTCGATTATAATTCGCAGTACTCGACTTTCAACGGTGAATGAGATCTCTCATCTCCTCGAGTGCTGGCAACACTGCCTTTAAATGAATGCGTTGAAGCTTTTTAAGGGATGATCCTATTGGTCATATGAGGAGAAAGAATATGGACTTTTAACAGACTCTAAAATTACTGGCAGATTGAGCTCGACATGTTGCCGATACGTTATTCTACTTTCTTCCGGCGAACAATGGATTTCCCTTACCTATCTCGAATCTCGTTGAACATGCATGGAAATCTGGGAATAGATTACGCATGAAAAATGCATGATGTAATAAAATCAGGACCGAAGACGAAATGGAGATAAACACAGAACAATGGAAGTCAAGTTTCACTTTACTACCTTCCTATTGTTCCTCCGAGATCTATTTACAAGCTTATCTGATGATTCTGATTCTAAGAAGCAAAAGCTAAATGAAAGTCTTGATTTATAGCGTAATTTCGTTAAGCATATGACGTCCGACCAATTAATCTGGCTGCTCGTTAAGGCAATTAACGATTTTATCATCAATACTCTTCTCTTTTTCATTAGACAATTAATAAATCATTAGAAGCAGAAGAAACATAAATAGCTAAGTTGCAAGACTATATGCTTGCCCTCGATGCGAAATCAATCGATACGTCAGAAGGGGAATTCGATCACACGCGAAACTACCTCGGAGAAATTGAGACGTCCTTCAGGTGCTCATTACCTGCCAGGCCATCGGAATAAATTTCCTACCGGATAAAAGCAGACGGTCCACATCGTCCGCGACATCTCCAATTCTTCGACTTTCATTTCTCCGCAATTTCCTGTAACGACTAGACTACAGATTTTATGCATTTATAAAAATACAGGAAATTTGAAATCCACAGCAAAAGAGAAATTACTGTTTTCATGGATAAAGACTAATACTACGTAGAATGCCTTTCCCAAATTTTATTATTAATAACAATTGTAATTCATGTATTTTTTTATTGAATGCATAATCAATCAAACCAATCGATAGAACTTTTAAAATCAGTTACTTGTCATACGAAAATGTCAGATTTAAATTGCTGAAATTTCGGATAAGACGCATTTGAGATTCTAGTTTTAGAGGATCACTTTACGCATTCGGAGATCTAGTTCCGGTACGAATGGAGTACAATTCTATCCTGAAATCAGTTTCGGAAAAATCCGTCTTGGAGGCTGGTGCGTAATCCGATGGCAATGGAAATAGAGAAGAATCGCGATGTGAGCAGGAATTGCAGCCTGCTCTCCAAAATTGGCCCCGATTCCATGCCGTTAAACTCATCTGCCGTCTCCCTTGTCAGCTCTTCAGCTGGTAGATGGAAACGGATGGATTTCGGGAAAATGATGAGAGAGATCCGGTGGGATAGGGTTTAAAGAATCGCACGGAAAGATTGAAGCTTTTACAAATTAATCGAATTCCCCGATGTTTCGGAACTCGGAGCAATTCATTAGAAATTAGTGTACGCAATTTGCTAATTAATTTTCGGTCGAAAAGCTCATCGATCTTGAATACTGGCAATTTTCTTCACGACGATTAGTAGAAAACTCTTTTACGATTTCGCGTTTCTTTCAGCTGTAATCAAATTATCTCGACTATTTTCGTTCTGACTTTACTTTCCGAAAAATGTTTTTCACCTGTCCATTACGTGATTAGTTGATATCAATCTTGTTGGGAATTAAAATTACTTTTCGTAGAAACGTTAACGAAAATAGTTCTCGCCATTTACTTACAATCGCGAGCCTCGCCTAATATATCATTCCCGGGCAACAGCTTGCCGCCGAGAACTTCCGATTTAAGATTCCGGCGAACTTTTTTTCCCGATATAAAACGACCCAGAGCTTAGCTAGTCGCGTTCGTCAAACTTTCCACTCGTTTCGTGCCCGAGCTGCATCGATTCTTAATTTAATCAACAGCGTTCCGATCGAGATGTTCAATTTTATTCGCGAACAGCTTGAAAACTCGAACGCTCGTTTAGTTCCGCGACCAATAAAGTGAACGCTTGCCTAACGATTCGACGGGCTGAACCGCGTGGCGCCAGTTTGTTAGCAACGATGATCAGTGTGAAACGAAGCGGAAACCCGATTACTCGATCAACAGAAAAACCACTTTACTCCGCTCTTTTGTACACCCCGAAAAACAAAATAAAACAGCGTGATTATCAAACGATTATATATTTTCTATATACAATTAACATTTTAATTGGAATTCGTCGGAGCTATGGAAAAACCTCAAAAGATTTCATTTAATTTTCGTTACTCGAGTACATCGGTTCGGTCTCGAACGTTTTCATTCGCGTGTCGCAGCTGAATCACGGCCCCAGCCTATCCCCGATGTTATCGTAGATAAGTTACGCGATTACGCAACGGACGACACGCAATTTCCATTCAATTTACGTAAATCGTTTCTGTTTCTCCTACGAAGCGTACCTCGGGTTCATGTTAATTATTAGTGGCCTGGCGTCCTCTGTGAAGCTTAATGCTACGCTCCCACTGCCGTTATTAAATACGCGACAGCCGGAGTGCATAATTTTGCTGGGAGAAAAAAGTTCCTCCGGCTTGTCATTTTACTTCATAGAAAATTCACCTGGGAGCTTGGCAATCCATGAAGTCTACATTGTCTACATCTAGAATCTTCGATTGTCCTGATTAATTAATACACAGGATGAGTAACTTGTTATTTCATGATTTTATCAGAACACAATTGAGATCATTAAATAAAATCGTTGTACAGTTTCATCAGTGGATAAATGTAAATATTCTTTATTGATTCGGTTTGTATGTTGGATGGAAGTAAAACAAAGGCGATAACGCAGAAATCGATTGGTGTGTTAATTAATGAGCCCATTTCCTATCGTTAGTCGGTTCACGTCTGCGATATTAATCGTCCCGGTGCGAAACGCGACGCGATTACTTATATCCCGGTCGTATGAAAATATTGGCGATCAGAAGGGAATCGGAAACGGCGTGCGACACGTACATATCTGGGTCATCTTTATAAAAGTCGCGTCGTTTATTACGTACCTGACGTGTCCTGCGGGGAAATTGATTCCATACTGTTGATTAACTTTTCCAGGCTAAGCATACAAATATTGGCCGGCCGCGCTTTCGTGCCCGCGAACACTTTGCATGCCGGCCTAAGTAAAAATATTTGAAAGAAAGCAAACTGCGCTGATTAGCTTGTCGTTGCTTGGAACTTTATCGAAAAGCACGGTTAATCACTGCCCTTCTACAGTTTCTTGCTTGAAACTAATGCCATTACCTACGGCAAGAAGTTTTTCGAATATATCTATATAGCATACAACGAATTAAGTATACAATGTTGCATTGTTCAAAATGCTACGGCGCATGCAATAATATATAGAAGACAATAATTGTCCTTGTCGATATCTTACTGGAATAACGGGGGACACCGTTAATGAATGTGTTTATAAAATAATTGTGAAATTTCCTGTTTCAGGGATGAGAAAATGCCGCTGTAATGTTGCAACGTAGCACATCATCGCACCGGTGTCGACCGCCGAGGAACATGACGACCGTTGGCCACGCGTCGACGATCGCCGGGCCAAGAGGACGACGAGCAAGCGTGGCAACTGACAAACCTCTCGATTCGCCGAAAGTCACTCCGAGGAGACGTTCACCCCAAGGCAGCAGCTTCATACCTGACATCGGTCTTGACACGGACAACGACGACGAGGTAATTTATAATTAACAGATTTTTATGCATTCATGCGATCAGTTTTATACATTACACGCACCAATTTTTTTATAACATCTGTAATCTATATGGAATTTTGCATAACCATTGAAAAACGTTTTGTAAATATTAATATTTTATTCAAATAAAAATTCAACCATCAGAAATATATTTAAATTTGAGATTGAAAGTTTGTTGGGACAAGATATCATAGATGAATCTGTTCAAAAATCGTATACGTTCTTATACACTTGTTCTAGTCTAATATAATTCATCAAAAGTTAGAAACAGAGATGAAGACATTCAGAATTTCTTCACCTTCTTTCAGAGTTTAATCGTTTCCATTATACCTTCACTTTTCAGGGCACCAACCGCAGGCTTCTGCTGGATCGAGACCAATACGGTGGCTCGCGTAATATGTTGAACCAGAAGATGAGTCGAAGTCCTCGGAACTCTTTGGTCCCAGACGACTACTATAAACCCAGGAACGGGGGTCGTAGTCCAAGAAACAGTTTGGTACCAGATGCTGCTTTGGCACCAGATGCGTTGTATAGCTCGCGGCACTCGCTGGTCTTCGAGGCCTCGCTGAGTCCCAGGAACTCGTTGGTACCAGACGTGGCGAGGAATAGAAGTCCGCGTAACAGTTTGGTCCCGCCGACCGGTTCGAGAACTTCCCTCATGTCCGAGAACGGGAATCCTCTTCCCAGTCGCAGTCCTCGACATTCTTTGGTACCGAATTCTTCGAGGAGTCCGCGTGGAAGTATTACAAACATGGAAATGATGGACCGTAGTCCCCAGAGGAGCCCGCGGGGCTCGATAGCTTCTGAATACTTGAATCAGAGTCCGCGAGGCTCAATCGGACCTTACGAGACGAACAGATCGTCGCGGGGGAGCATCGCCGTCAGCGACGCCCCTAGAGGATCGATCGGCGGTAACGAGGAAGAGACCAGGAGCCCACGAAGGAGTATCGATCCGGATACTATCGACCGAACGCCAAGGGGCAGCCTCAGCGGCTTGCAGGAACGAAGAGGCACAAAGGCGAGTCTGATGGCGCAGGACCCTAGAAGGGCCTCGGCTGATCAAGGTGAGAATTCGTTTGTCTTAAGCGGAATCCGACCTATACGCTAATCGATGTGAAATTCTGTAAATAGCTTCGCGGATAATTCGATTTCAAATTCGGACTGATTCTACTTGAGTAGATTCTTGCTCTTTGCACACACGTCACCTATTTCATTCGAATAGATTAAAACTTTTCGCAAACGAATGTTAAGACGTAAATTGAATTAAATAATGATACAAATCACTTCGTTTTTTGGCCGTTTATAAAAAATTCAAAATTCAGAACAGAATTTCTCCGTGAAAGTTCGACTGAACCATTCCAAACGTACGGAAATACGGAACGTACAACGGGATTTAGCAATTTCCCAAACGGAGAGATAATACCGTTAGTGTCGAGTTAAAATTTTGACGATATCAAAGCTGCATTGAGAGCAGTCATACCCGAAAAGGTATTATCATGCAGAGCGTTCACATTCACGAGGATGAGCGAAACTGGGTCGGGTTTCATCCGCGATGCCTGCCACCGCGTGAAAATTAAAACCGTTCGCACGTATAAACTCATTTCCCATGGTAGCGGCACCGATAGGCGACACGTCCGATGAAATAATTTATCACGTTAATTCGCTCGATACCTGCTCTCGATGCAACCTACGGGCTGCCACTTATTCATGTAGGCAGCCAAGCCTTATGGCAATGTGACCCTCGTTACCGTCTATCTTTGTCTCGGCGGAGCTGTAAATTACGATTTCATCAATTTTACTGATCGCGTGTAACCCAAGCAGGTACTTATATTCGAATACTCTTGCGAAATCGTCAAAGACTAATTGAAAGATCAAGTAGAATCGTATAACAAAATTGTATAATGAAAGATAAACATGTTCACTAAGGAATGAACATTCTTCAAACTTGTTACAATCTGTTGTAAAAAAATCTGGGAACATTCTGATGCACGGATTAGAGTATTTGAGACTTGGCCACTATTTTTATTTATTAAAATAAAAGAAAAATCAAAAATATATAATATAAATTGCCTACAAATCAAAATTGTATTGTATAAATAATTTAAAATCGTGGGAACCTTGTTAAAATATCGCAGCTCTTCATTTGCTACTTGATCTCTTTAAAAGGTTTTTTAGGTATGTTAACCCTTGTTACGCTCTAATTTTGACGGTTCTCAATGGAGTTGTAAATTGCGATTTGATCGATTTTTACGCGTAATCCAAGTCTGAATCCGATCGTTCAAGCCCGATTGGCAGGGAATTGGTGTCTGATATTCGAGCTATAAGTCGGTTCAACTGATATTACAAAGTTGTCAGAGTTAAGTACCCATCGAATTGTTTGACGCTGAAAGCGGAATCACTTGACGAGTTTGCAATCGGATTTGATTACAATATGCTATTACTAGCGGGTGTAGGATGATAAGACTGATGAGGGTTCGACGATTTTAATCCAAAGCGTATTGTAAGCCAATTCCATAAGCTTGCTTATTGTTTTCGAGTCGACAATCGCGAAATCGTTATTTTGTAATGAATAGACTTAAAATATTCATTATTTTTATGAAAATACATTTACAATATTCGATAAATAAAAGTAAGAAAAACCACCCTTGTCGCTACATATTGCATACAGTGGCAGATAACGAGAATTTCAAGGGGATGACAGGGAAAAATAAACCTTCACTGGACTGCCTGATAATTTTCATTTAGATAAATCGATTTTTTAATCATTTTATCTGTGCTTTGCAAACAAGAGAATTGTTTTGGCGTGTACAGGTATGAACGAGCGAAACTGCTCTCCTTCCCGGCAGAGAGAGGTCAACGTAGGAAGCGTGAAGTCCGGCGGAAGTACGGTCCAGATCAATCTAGGATATGGGCCAGCCACCTTCGAGGATTCTCGGCGAGCCAGCAGCTCGGTATCTCAGGTATGACATTTTTCGTACTCCCTTGACCAGCGCCATCGAATGTACGATGATCATAGAAAGTGTACCAGTCGCATTAACCCCTATAGAAAAAACGAGATTCTCTAAGAATGAGAAACTGGAGGTTTCACTTAAACGAATTTAAAGAAGCTAAACTTCTTAAGCTCCTATCCTTGTCCTTAAACCCTTAAACCCTCTTGTATCCTCTTAGGAAAATTTCGTTAGGCAAAGTGGGGTGCTGCCATTTCTCCAAAACGTTTATCTAAGAACCCCAAGAGGACCGCATACGATTATTTTAAAATAAAAGAGATTAACCATTCGTTATATCCATATTTGATGAATACCAATCATTGCAGTTGATGAAATGTATCACGATTATTATTAGTAATTAAAACAAGATATCATTTTAAGTAAATGATTCGCGAGACACTAAAAAATGTTCGTTCCTTCGTTTATTCAATTTCGCGAACGATTCGCATTGTGGAAGAATTTAATAGCTAACAACGTTCGTGTACGTCCGGTAATTTTCACCGGGAGATACGGTGGCGCATCCTTCATCCAGTCGCTTATTTCACGACCTTCCCATCCTGTCAGCCAGAAAATTTACGAACGATATAACGAACTCTGTGGAAATGTTCAGTACTGAAGGGCCGAAGGAATAGTTGAATCGTAAAAAAATTGCCCACCCTTCCAACGTAATAGACGAGCATCGCGTCGGGCCGAAACGGCCGTTTTATATCCACGAACAGACGCCCCAGCCGAAACGTGAAGGTGACCTTAAACATTTTTCGTACGGACGTTTCAATTTCATTTTGAAACCTTTCATATTTTACGGCCCTTCGAAGAGTTCAATATTGTTCTCAATATTTCTCACTACTGGCTACTAGATATGCGCTCTATTGTAGGAAGGATGGATCGTGGGATTGTATAAAAAATGAGTGATGAACATTGCTTCAGAGACGTTATTATTGATCGCTCGCAACTCTTTTCGAAATTTTTTTATTGTTTAACGAGAATTTTTCTTATCCCGGTAAGATTGAATGATTTCTTTTATAACTACGATTTACCCCAGATTGCAATCTGATCGATGAACCGTTTCGTGTCGATGTTCAGTTTTCAGGCGACGAATCACGCCGCCTTTTCACGAGCAGCACCAAAGTGCCGGAGAATACAATGGAGAACAGGAACCTCGGAGTGATTACTTACGGGTCTGTGGTATTTCAATTGAAGGACGCGAATCTTGAGGCGACGAACATCTGCGATTTCGTGCTGCGCGCGTTGAAGGTGGTCTGTAGAACGAGGGTGGTCATCGTCTGCCTGATATGCTTGTCGGCAGTACCATTCCTGATGCTGATTTATGGTGAGCAGAGAAAATTGTTATTGTTGGACCAACAAAAACGTTTGAATTAATCGCCGGTGCTTGCGAACGTTGTTACAATATCGTTTCCCCTTCGAATGCTCCAAAATAACATTTCGCCGAAGGGTAATTCAAACTAGACAGTATAAAAAAAAAGAAGAAAAAAAAAACGCGTGTTACGTTCGGTATGGCGCGCAGCAAAGCTTTTGTGCATACACGCAATCACGGTCGAATCGATATAGTTACAGATAGAAAAAGTTATCAATTATTAGAAGAAACCCAGTGAACTGTTGTAACAAGTAACCTTATCACCTATCTGCTGCTTTCTATCTTCATTACGCCGCAAGGGACATATTTCTGTCAAACATGTTATAACATATTTCTGATAAACTAGAAATTCTACGAAACTCCGTTCGCTACGTAAACATAAATCCATTAAAACCATTCCCTTTCACACTGCACGTAAATTGACTGATCACTCGTTTGAATTTTCATTAATTACCATAACACTACAAATCCAGCTTTAGATATTTGAGATAACATCGTATCAGCTGAATTCCGGTTTACTGCATAATGAATGCACGAATATCAGATACTGGTCTCGAATAAGAGAAACTCGGCCGGGTAGATTCGAATCTGGAGCGAGAGTGTGGGTAAGGGGATGCGGATACCCTCGCCTTACCGTCACGAAGCACGGGTATACCGCGATTCGCACCGACCAAGATCCCGGCCATCGTTTATGACACGCGAGCAGCGTGCTACTTTCCCTTTTTCAGTAAGTTTTTATTAAAGCTCATCTATGACCCAAGCTAATCGTAATCAAAGTTCACTGCGATTAACACCTGAGAGTCAGATATCGACTTACTGTTCCGAAAAATGCTTTGGAAAATTGCATAAAAAAATATTCCACTTACGAAATATTTATATTTAAACGATTCATTTAGAAAAACGAATATTTTTCTGTTCAGCAATCACAGCTTTCTTTATCATGAGTGAGAATCCATGGTACGTCCACCTTTTCCCTAGAGCGTAGAGCGTTCTCAAATCGATAAATAGCGCAGGGTTAGTTCGCAGAAACAGGAATTACGTACCTCGGTTACAGGTGAACGTACTTGCATATACGTAGATCCTTGAAAATTTATTACCACGTCCTGGTAACTAGAACCCGGGGTATTTATTATCGAAGGGAATCTCGACTGTGTATTCGTTGACTGATGCACGTTATCTCTAGCTTCTAATTGAAAATTGTACACTCCTATTATTATTAGGGACACAATAGAACTTCTGTGACACTGCTAAATAATTAACCGTACAACGTCAACGATTGTTTTAATAAATAATTAAATAAAATGAATGACACGTTAAAAAAAGGCAGCATACCGCGAGTGGAAGAACTTGCATGTCGTATTGCTTTTATAGTTAGCTATCAAAATAGGACGCGACGCAGCGAGTCAGGCAACGTCATTATTACCGTTATATTATTCAACGCTTTTGATATCGATCTGAAACTCTTATTATTATTTGCACACTGGCGCAGCTAACTAAGCGATTATTAAACAAACCAAATGTCGAATCCGTTAGACGCGACTATAGACACGTGAGAATAGACCGATTGCTCAAACGGGTGAGACCAGGCGATTGAGCAAGAGAAAATGAATTGGAGAGTTTTGTTTTCTATCCACGTGTGAAAGAGGGACAAAAACTTCTAAAGCGTGTTTTTTTGGTCCTTTACCGAGTCAATAAAAATACATTGGACGCTCGGTCTATTCTCTTATCTCCATGGATACGACCTGGTTCGTTTCAGGTTGGAACTTCTACAAGGAGTGCCCAAAGGAACCTCGTATACCGATTTACATGGTGATCGGCGGCGCTTTCGGGACGATCCTCATGGTGCTCGTCATTTACGCACAGATACGATCCAGGCGGACGAAGATGATCTCGGTCCCTTCTACCAGTTCACAAATTTCATTCTCGAAATTGATTACCATCGTGTTATCGTGTTTCCTTCTCGGCTGGTTCATGCTTGGTAAGAGAATTTCACACGTACTCATAGCCTAATATTCTTTTTACCTCTTATTTTAATATTATTATGAAACTATAAAAAACTAGTTTAATTAAAAAAATGATAGTACAGTCTTAAGGATGTATTGGCTATACAGT